CGAAGCCTTCAGCATCCAACTCGTCTTGGATGGATCCCTAATACGTTAAAACCTGCGTTAACATTGTCTTTCCTTCCGACTTTATTTTTTCAAAACAGAAAACACACAAACATAGATTTCCTTTGGTGTCACAAGCTAACAACCAGCTATATCGGCTCTTTCGTCCCTAGCACGCGTATAATTCTCATAAGCTGTCGGTTAGTTTGTTGGACAGCATCCACATGTAATTGGCTGCGAAATGCGTTCGAGGACGATGACTCCATAGGCTCATTTCAGCAGCAGAATAAGTAAGCTTTTATGTATTCGGAATCAATTAGTGACCGGTGGTATGATTTCAAAAAGAAAAACGCAGTGCGTTGAGATCACCGGCGTTCCAACGCAGGCGATTGGCACCTATGTTATAACCACCTTACTAAGCTTCAGCAACTTTGCTTTGACGGCACAAGGTAATGTCACAGATCCGCTTACGAACGTGTAACGCTAACGAAGTGGTTGGCGGGCTACATGCATTTTTTGGAGCGTACTGTTTGTCTCTAAGATGTGAACGGACAGAGATATTGTAGGTAAAGCGCTGCCACCCAACTAGCCAATCACGTTAGAAGATAAATGCTATATAGACGCTGGCAGGCGAACTGGAGGTACCCACCCAACTGCGCAGTGATGATATTTCCTCTTATGGTGACGAAACGCTTGCAAGTCAATTGCCAAGCTCGGCGAGCAGATCAACAGCCACCTGATCAACAACCAATAAAGATGGTGTATTTTGGCTACTTCGCAAAGTAGCATTAGCCTACACTGGGCTGGTTTGCTTCGTAGCCCCAGGTTGATGTGTGAACAAATGCTTATTAGAATGAGAGCATGTCTGTTTTGCGAGCTTGGGGTTGTTGCATCCCAACCGTTCTGCAGATCCTAGTAGAAAAAGCAAGGAAAACCTAAACTTAGACTTGATTTTAAGGAATGTCAGCGAGCCTGAAGTGGTTGTCGCTTTTCTCCAAAATTACTCCTGCAATCGGGGTCGTCTGGCTGCTTTTCTATGCATTCGCCGAATAGACACTAGGACAAGTTTTTGGTAAGGGAAGTTTCATTTGGGCGATCAACGCATATAAGGCCTAACTCTCCCATAGTCAAAGCGATGCGCTGCTCTAAAAAGAGCGTAAATCCTTCCAAATGGCTCGTATCTCCCACTCGATTTTCGACTTTTCGTGTAAACGCAGGTGGCCATGCTTAACTGCTCCTGAGTTGTTCGCCCTGGAGGTCCGCCTTGTCTTGGTCCTGCAAAATTCACAATTAGATCGCTACAAGCCGCTCAAAAATCGACAACGTCCGATGGTTTAGTTAGTTAGCTGTCTCTCAACAGGGATCACTTCATAGGTAAAAAATGCTAGCACTGCTTAACGCGACAACTGATTTTTTTATTGGCTCAGGGAGTCTGGATGTTCGAACGCCAAGTTTAGCCCTTCTATTCATGGGGAAGACGCTACTCATAAGGTTTCTGAACTCTTTGATGGCTCTACTGGTTACCGGCGGTGCGCGTTTTAGCGGTGATTCTCGTGGCTTGTGCGTATTGCGCAGAGTCGTGCGATGTACTCTGGAGAGTGGATTGAATCACTGGGTGATGAACCACATGTGTGGCTGTTAATTCGGCTACAGTAATCCAAGTCGTCTGATAACAGCTCATTAGAAACGAATTTTTTTTGTCTCAGAAATGGATCCAAAGCATTCGGCTCAGTCAAACTAGATTACAGGCTACTGCTTGACTAATGTGAATCTGCAAAGTATAAGCAGGAGAAGAATTACAGCGCGGTTGAAAACTAAAGAAACAACTTAGCTGTTTTCAGTCATCCGGGTGTGGGTAAATACCAAGGGATCTGAAGACCGCCACTCGAACAGCGAATGAAGAGCAAAGACCTCTCGGTACCTGTTTCGCTCTGCGAAAAATAAGGGTAGTTTGGCTTAATTTTTGGCGCACACTTGGAACTGCGTCGACTGGAATGCATATTCCTCCCTATAGTGAATGGATCGTTGGATGGTCATTCATGTGTCACGAAGCTATGAATTTCGTAGATCCACTGGATAACGGAAATCCCAGCTTCTGAATGGACCAAATTCCAGCGGTAGTCCCTATCGGCAAAACGATGCATTTCCGTCCTCGTTTGAATACTGGGGCGTGGAAAATGTTTATTTGTAGGAGAGGTGACTGGTAAATTCTGTATTGTAACTGTGTGGCGTGGTAGTGCTCTGGTGTAAGCGTAGTCACAATTAACCTATCAGGTGAAGAGTGCTAACAGCCGTCTGTTTTACTGGGATGGTGATGGTTACAATAGTTAGGTGCACCTTGATAAAAATTAACACAATGCAAAACGGAAATAAGCTAAAAAAAAAAAGGTGACTTATCGTTTGAGGACAACTGCCGGGAGTTTCTGAGTGCAGTTCCGCCCGCGGGACGTGTTTGCTCTGCAGTATAGCTGCTACACGTGTTCCGTAGTTATCTGTGGGGCTCGGTTTACTTCCTGCCCTGTGCGCCCGTGTGTGTGTGTGTGCTGGGGCGAGTTGCATGCCCCGGGAGTTTCTGAGTGCAGTTCCGCCCGCGGGACGTGTTTGCTCTGCAGTATAGCTGCTACACGTGTTCCGTAGTTATCTGTGGGGCTCGGTTTACTTCCTGCCCTGTGCGCCCGTGTGTGTGTGTGTGCTGGGGCGAGTTGCATGCCTGTGTTATTGTGTGCAATGTGAAGAGAGGAATTTGATAGTCGCACGGACATTCATACAACTTGCTTGACCTGATGTGGTTGAATGTCGTAAGCCTGGCGCGTGATGCAGGTGGTATCCTCGGATGGGAAAGTTTAGTGTACATGTTATCGGCTAAGGTTGCAAGTTAGACAGGAATTGTTGTTTGTGAGGCATGATTTAGTGCGTGACCGCTACGAGCGGTATCTTGTTCAAAACCCCGATGTACTATAGTTCCATAGGACTGTCCGCTCCAGATGAATTACTTTTATATTTCTGCGACTGAGACACTACCACCATACGGCGATCGTCTGCGCCCACCATCTAGTTTAGTCCGAGTGAGTAGGTCTTGTGTCACGTAGCTAAACTCGGATAGGAACCAATTGTTTCAGAAAGTTGTAGTTCAACAAAACAACGAATTGATTGCGTGTTGAACGCTGAGCTATCGTGCGTTGTCTCTTCCTACGCTCCGGCTTCGGTTTCTTTAGTTTAGAGTGCACGCGTGGTTTGTGCCTCCTAGGCCGAACAGTAGTCTAAACCAGCTGCTTTCACGAACAGTCTACTGATGTCGATGAATTCAGCCGTTTAACGTGACAGTCAAAAATTCGCTCTGGGTAAGTAGTATGTTCACTGAAGCCAATAATGAAATGACTGTTCCCTGTTCGGTCAGTTTTTTTCCTCTAGAGATGTTTCGGTGGAAATAACACCAAACTTCCGGGCTTACTTGGGGTGCTTCCCCGTTCGGGGGAGGATCACAAGACTGGTGCTGAGTGCATGTGACTCATGTGACTCAACTTCAGGTTGACGCAACATCAGACTGCCCAGGTAGTGGTAGTAAGTGGTCTGTGCTGTGGTCCCAATTTGTACATAAGGTTGATATTATAATGGCGTCCGTCCCGCTAAAGCAGAAATATGTGAAGTGAGCTGAAGTGATGCTAATACATCCACTAGAAACCTAGAAAAAATGGTACTCATAATTAAAGAAGAGTGAGTGAAAGGGAGAACACGAAGAAGCTGGATTACTCAGTTGGCCGCATTGCGACCACGGCCTACGGGAATGCCTTATATTTGGCTGCTGGCGCGAGTGATGACGTTTTATGCAAATGTTTCATCAGTAAAGGCTTGAATTTATTGAATATATCAGGTCCTTTATCTTTAAGTATCCAGACCCGTGCACCTTTTATTCAAAATCGTCGAACTAACGTTTCTATGAAGAAGACATCTTCATCACAGGGACTCTGCGAAACTTGAGAAATACCCATACATTAAGAGGTTTCCCCATCGACTGTGGGCCGCCTCTTATACGCGCCATTTTTACTATGGACTTAGAGTGCTGCTTAAGCACCGGAGGCTATTCTCTCGCTGAACTGAACAAAACGAGACAGATACTACAGTGTTTAGGAAATTACTCTACTCTAACCTTGTTTAAGTGCAAGCTGATTGCCTACTGAAGCATAATTTCTTCATCTGACAGTAGCAGGGAAAAGCTTAGTATCCGACAACAAAGCGAAGCATAACGCACGGTACCCAGAACGTCACAGTACGCATTTTGCAGTTACCGGTAAATGATAGCAAACTCCATTCACCCGAACTCATGTATACTTGTGTGAAGTACGTGTTGGAGCACGTACGTGAGTAAATTAAATGAAGTCTTGGGGAATTTCAAACATCGAGCACCGTCGATGCATTGAGATGATTTGGTTAGCACTCCCTTTCTTCTTCAGCCATAGTACTAAAAGCGATCGACTTCACACCATATTCGAAGTAAAACACTGGTAACCGAGCCATTCACACCATTAGCTTTCTTTAGGAATATACTGACATTTTGACCTAACCTGCGCCTAGAATAGAACTTGACGAGCTATCCGGTCGCCTCTGAGTTAGACAACAGACCTGATCAACCCACAATTCGACTGATTCTGGTCTCATTGTTTTTCCCCATCAGTGAGGTAAAGTTGATTGATTTGGGCGTTGCAGCTAGAGGTAAAGCCAAAATATCATGGTTAGTGTTTGTTTTCTCACTATGTGTAGAGTAGAGAGTAGAAAGCAATCGACGCGGTCGAATATCGGAGCACTCGCTGAAACGTTATTCGGATTAAGTAACAAAGTACGGGAAACATCCGTTATTAAGTGGTTTTTGAGCATAATTAACTACTCATAAGGTTGACTACCACCTCTCATCGAAAGAATCCCTCAAGTGTGCTGTGTCGCTCACGTAGCTTTTTCTATGAGGGATAGCTTTGACTTTAATACATGTATGTAGTACATCAACTCACGACACGACATAGTGGGGATCGAAACGTGTAACCGTTTCGTCTTTTGGCTGAAGTGAGCCAGACATATTTTTTACGAACAATTCTCACTTATTTTGGCAAATGTCCTATTCGGAAAAACAAAATTTAGGGAATTTTAAGTCACTGGGAGTCTAAAAACAAACCTAAAAATATTCAAAGTGAGTGTAAAAACAGCAATAGACTGGATCAACTACTTGATAAATCTGGTTATGTACTGCGTAAGCCCCATCCTACAAAGAAACACAACGATTCTGTTAGTTGAGTTCCACTCCTGATCTTTTAAGGATTCTCCGCCTCGTTGATGTCGCTTCATACAATGAGTCCCGATGGTGAAATACAGGTGCACTTGAATTCGTTAAGTGGAGGTTTCGGTGCTTTCCGTTCCACGGAGACCGGATGACCGTTTCGCAACTGTTTACTACGGGTCTGCTTGCTGCAGAAGTCCTTCTGTGATGTACGACTAAACGCTTCATGAAATCGAGAAAGAACCTTCACATTACAACTGCTACCGAACATCTTAAAAGTCCATTTCACGATTCATCTTACGAAGTGGCTGTTAGGTGCACGATTAATCGTTCGCCGTCGCTGTCACTTCTCTTTTTTGTGAGGTTTGTCTAACGTGAATTCCAGTGAAGGACTATGGTTTCTGCTTGGGATAGGTTGAACTGGGGGTGGAAATTTGTGAACGTTTTGGGGAGTTACGGAAGTCCACTTCAACGGGGATTTTCGATGTCTTTTCCATCGATCAACTCCCTCAACCAAACTCCGAGACAAACAAGCATGAATGGTATTGCTTGCTGGTGTCATCACTGTTTTTCGTAGACTTCAGAAACCTCACCAAGGTTGATGGTACGTATTCGGCTAATTGGCCAGCCAAAGAGCGTTAGGTTATTCATTTGCATTTATTCTTCACAGTATTGAAAACTGTCAGTTTTTGTGGGCGGGCTTCAAAGTTGCCCATGCTCTCCCTTATCTGAATTTTATTGCACAAGCTCCCTGCGAATCCTTTCTTGAACTCGTGTTCTATCCACCTGGTTACCACCACTACATTTGGCCGCTCTTATATGGTTTTCGTGACAGCTCTGTACCAGCAGACAACTTAGCCAAGATAATTCCGATGCCGAAACTTCGATCGACTGCTCATACCTGGGTAAATTTGAAGTTATTTAAGTAAGGTTATTTATTTTTTCAAGTAAGGTATTGTCGTAAGGTGTTGTGGAGATCAAATCTCAGTTAGACGATCGGAGGAACACACCAGTATGTGTATTAGGACTCACCTCGCGAAATTGCCACATACGTATTCGGTTTCGTCAGCAACTGGCAGACAGACCAGAATTATACACTTACTACTCTTGGATCATAGGAAGGCCCTTGACATCGTCAGCCGGGGTCTTCTTTGGACGGTTGAGTATTTGCGTCAGTAATACGTTTTTGACTCATGTCCACCAAAAGGTTGAAATGCGTGAGGAAATTTGCGCCGATAATGGGATGCTGGACGTCAGCAATTAAGAAGATTCACGGAAAATCGCGGTGTAACCCAATGTTTAGTCGTAGAGTGCGCTGTCCGTAAGTCTTAATTGGAGAACCATTCGCGGCCATTAGTGTGAAAGAAGAAGCAATGGGTTTGTAGGAAGCGGCAGTCACGGGTATAATGCTGATGTCAGCCCCAGTGTCTACCAGAAAATTGAGACCCGAGGGTTTGTCGACGATTGTAAGGTGACAAGTTATATGAATTGGACTTAGAACTTTGCTCGCTTCTATAGTTCGGCCCGTGAGTTTCCCGATGATGACTGAGGAGCCGGATGACTTGGTCGGAAAGAACATGGTTGTGAGCACTTCCAGGCTCTATGTCCGAACGTATAGTGGTACCAACAAAATGCTTGTCCTCGGGAGGATGAATGTGACCGAGAAATTAAACGTGAACGAAAAGGCGCACGACGAAACGGTTGATGTCGGTTTATACGAATAGCTGCGACCTGATTAGCCAACTGATCGAGTCGATCGTGAAGGGCGGACACCGAATCTGAGGTGTTTACGGAGGAGACGTTGGCGGAACACAGTTGGATTTCGAGCATTTTGTCTGCACTGCTGGTCGGTCCAGCTAGAGAGGCGCTATCGGGGATGGACGCCAGGATGGTTTGTACTTGTTGGGTAGGCATTTCAGAAAGAGTTGGTTGAATAAAACGTCATCTATGTTGCGGTCGCCAATGATATTATAAAGCCTCCGTAAAAGTTGAGATGGGGTGGACTCGTTCAGTGACTCTTCGCTGAGTAGCTGTTCCAGTCTTTTAAGTTCTGATAAACTGCGACGTTTAATGAGTGTAATGCGCAATTGAGTGTAGGGTTCAGTGTCGTCAGGTCTTCAGTATATCGCGCAAGTCTGGTGCTATCTCTGCTGGAAGCACGGCTAGAACGTGATAATACATTGTATGTTCCTCTATGATTCCACGGAGGGCGAATTGAGCTGAGACTTGTGTGAACCATATGGAGAGATCGGGGTGTCAAAGAGGTGAAAGATGGACGCAAGCAGCATTATTGTTTTGTTTGAATGTGATGGGTGTTAGAGAAATACGGAGATTTGGAGGTGATGACATGTCTATTTCAGTCGGGATCACCAAATTGTTGTGCACCACGTTACAAAATCAACCAGATAATCAGAAGACTATAGGCACTAATAACATACATGTTGTGTGAACGAGGTACGGCAAAAGAGAGACGCTATCGGGGATGGACGCCAGGATGGTTCGTACTTGGGGGAGTAGGCTTTTCAGAAAGGGTTGTTTGAATAAAGCATCGTCCGTTTTGCGGTTCCCCATGATATTATAAAGCTTTCGTAAAAGTTGAGATGCGTTGGACTTGTTCAGTGACTCTCCGCTGAGTAGCTGTTCCAGTCTCTTATGTTCTGATAAACTACTACGTTTAACGAGTGTATTGCTCAATTGAGTGTAGCGTTTAGTGTCGTCAGAAGTCTGCAGTATATCGCGCAAGTCTGCTGCTATCTCTGCTGGAAGCACCGCTGGAACGTGATAATACATAGTATGTTCTTGAGTGATTCCATGGAGGGCGAACTGAGCCTGGACTTGGGTCAACCATATGGAGGGATCGTGGTGCCAAAAAGGTGGAAGATGGACGGAGGTGGCATTAACGTTGAGTGAGAATGTGGTAGATGTTGGAGAAGTGCCATGATGTGGTGGTGATGACATGGCTAATTCAATTGAGCTCATCAATTGTTAGTGCTATAGTTGTGACGTAATTAAGTTGATTATCAAGCACTAACAAATGTCTGTCTTACTAGAATGTGAGGAATACTATAGTTAGGTGCACTTCATAAAAATAGATACAATGCGAAAAGTGCGATAAGCCAAAAAAAGTGATGTATCGTTTGTGGGCACTTGTTGAGAATTCCTGAGTGAAGTTCCGGACGCGGGACGTGTCTTCTCTCCAGTATTGTCCGTGGAGACTTGCAGAGCTCTGTTGACTTGCTGTCCTTGCGCGCGAGTGTATGTGTTGAGCCTAGTTGTATGCCTATTTATTGTGCATTGTGAAGAGAGGGGTGTCCCTTCATATTTGATACTTGCACGAACACGAATACAACTTGACCTGATGTGTTTACTGAAGCTCATAATCCTTGTGCGTTACGCAAGTGGTAGCCGCGTAAACAAAAATGGATGAGAATCTGTAGTGTACATGTTGTCGGCTAAGGTTGCAAGTGGGACAGGAATTGTCGCGTGGTTTGAGTGTTTGTGACGCGTGATCTGATGAGTGACCTCTACAACTTCTTGTCGTGGACCATTTTTCTATCCACATCTTCTACCGGATAAACCAAAGTACTCACAACAACCAATAAAAAACCGATCCTTCACAAGGAAATATTCTTTTCCAGTTTATTTTGCTTTATACTTCGATGGCCTATCTGTACCAGATTCAGATATGTTGATGATACTGTGATCGGTTGTGTAGTTCAGATGCACGCATCAAATCACAGGCCTGATTGAACGGGTTTGTTCAATGGCCTCAAGAGCGTCACTTTTTTCAGCTACTTTGAAATTCTTAGGTGGGGTTTCCCTGTCAGTTTTCCAAAAATATGTTGTTTACTGTGCCTCAAGATCACTTGATGACCTTGCATCCGTGCCGCGACATTTCTATGCTCCGATTCTGAGAGCATTATCTGTTCCTAAACCTCATTCTTAAGTTTTTGATTACATTGTTTTATTATATTGTTATATTGTTTATTACATCTTGTACGTAATATTACACTCCATTTTGAAATCGGTCTAATCCTGTCACTTCGCGGGCCTTTTTGTCTCATAATTAAATCACTGTAACACGTTTGTAAGTAGGATTCATAGTCGTCAGATCGGTAATATTCTTACCCGGAAACCTTTATCGATGCTCAGCACTATCTTCATCAGATTTTTGCATTAGGCTGCGGTACGAACTTTTGTATATCAGAAACATCAGAGACCCAAATTCCTCTATTACCGACATGTCCCCGTAGCCTTCTAACTCTGACCCATTGCACGATGCATTCCTGTCATACTTTTTTCACTACTTTCACAATGCACTAACGCTGTTTTTATATTTGTCACGAGTTTGTTTGTTGGATTTCACTTCTGGAGCCTCGTAAAGCACTCCTGACTTAGCTTGATTTGGAGGGTTGGTATGTTTTCGGTTGTTTCTCGACAGAAGCATCCGTTAAACTGAGCGTCACAATTGCCAAAAGGGCATCAGTTCATACGGAGGGTTTCCGTCATTATTTACATTTCACTGGAAATTTGTGTAAACTTTCACCAGCAGATGGTGCTAAGATAGTATGGTAAACGATTGGTTGATTTTCTCTCTTCACACAGCTGCATCCCTCCAATGTCCCGTTTCAGTGATAAATGAGATCTGTTAGCCTGACCTGAGGCCCACGAAAATGAAACAAATAGAACTTGTTATGGCTCAGTCCGGACAGATGTAAATAATGATATTAGTAATGTTTACTGATAATAATTTTATTGTACGTGCACGTGTGTACACACAAGATATCTCTTTAAACGCTAGA